TGACCCTGAACACACAGATATCTATGGGATTAAAGGCGTGTGCCACCACCGCCACACTCTTGCTATGGCTCTAATAGCTCTGACCCCCAGACAACTTTATTTATTAACATACAATCAAATTAATATTTCAACACAAATCAAAATAATATTTCAATACAATTAGATTACCACCACAGATACCCTTTTCTTCTGGACTCCCTGGGCACCTACACTCACATGCACACACTCCCCACATATACATAAATCTTAAACAAAGCCTACATAACCATATACAATAGCCCCCGGAGTGGCTAGTAAGCCCACTAAAAAAGCCCACCAAGGAAACCCACACTCTTTTTTTTGTTAAGAAATTTTCTATTCATTTTACACACCAACCACAGATCCCCCTCTCCTCCCTCCTCCCGCCCCCCAGCCTTCCTCCCTAGCCCACCCACTATCACCACCTCCTCCAAGGCAAAGTCTCCCATGAGGAGTCAGCAGAGCCTGGTACATTCAGTTGAGGGAGGTCCAAGCCCCTCTCCCCTGCACCAAGGCTGCACAAGGTATCCCACCATAGGCACTGGGCTCCAAAAATCTGGCTCATGCACTAGGGATGGATCCTGACCCTACTACCTAGGGGCTCCATAAACAGTTCAAGCTAAACAACTGTCTCCCCTATTCAGAGGACCTAGTCCAGTCCCATGGGGGCTCCACAGCTGCTGGTCCACAGTTCATGTGTTTCCACTAGTTTGGCTGGCTGTATCTGTATGTTTCCCACCATGATCTCGATGTCCCTTGCTCATAGAATCCCTCCTCTCTCTCATCGACTGGACTCCTGGAGCTCGGCCTGGAGCCCGGCTGTGGATCTCTGCATCTGCTTCCAACAGTTACTGGATGAGGGCTCTATGATGACAGTTAGGGTATTCACTAATCTGATTACTGGAGTAGGCCAGTTCAGGTACCCTCTCGACTATTGCTAGTAGTTTAAGGTAGGGTCATCCTTGTGGATTCCTGGGAACTTCCCTGGCACCCTGCTTCTCCCTGTTCCCATGATGTCTTCATTTATCATGGCATCTCTTCCTTTGCTCTCCTACTCTGTCCCTGTTCCAGCTTGAACCTCCTGTTCCCTTATGTTCTCATCCCCCATCCCTTGCCCTCCATTACCCACCCCCTCACCCCTAGTTTGCTCATGTGGATCTCATTTATTTCTTCTTCGCTGGGTGATCTATGTGTCCCTCTTAGGGTCTTCCTTGTTAGCTAGCTTCTCTGGAGCTGTGGGGAAACCCGGGCTCTTCTTAAGTGTGCATTTTCACAAATTAGCAAGCTTTGCTTGCTGTATTTGGCTTTGTCTCATGTATGAATTCTTTCTCCGATGGTGACAATATATTGGAGATAATATGTAAATGTCTCAGTCTGATAGTCTGGTCTGTATCTCTGAGACGTCCCCAGTCTTTTCCCATCAGGAGCTCGTTTATGATCTGGTATTCCAGTCACCTCAGTGGTGGATGTATCACTTAGCACGGGAATCCGATTGTGGGAAAGTTGCAGGCCATTCGGTGGCTATTCTGGCAGCTCTCTTAGGTTGAACCAGTTTGGACTAGCCCACCAGAAGAGGAACTTTTGGTCTTCAGATATCCTATCATTAAAGATACATAAGATAAGGGTGGGTCAGAAATATAGCCAGGCCACCAGACAGTGCGCTGGACGGCTTCTGCATATTACTCCGGAAGACTGTGTAAAAAGGACAGGTGAGGTTTAACAAGCTGACAAAGAGACTGTGTAAACTGATAAACTATTACTGTTGTTTAAGTAAACAATGGGAAAAGTTAATGATAAACACTGCATAAAAGTATAGAGGAGGAAAAATGATTTCCTTCCCAACCTTTGTGTGTTCTTTAGCTAAGACTCCCTGTTAAAAAAGACAGCTTGATATGAGAAAAGCAAACAAGTTTAGTGTGTGTGTCTAATGTCGGAGAAAACCCAGGGGAATTAGGGGATCTTGACAGTAGATCGCTAAGATTATCTGGGACTGTAGATTCACATGTTCCTATTATGGAGAACAAGACAGATCGGTGTGAGGAAAGACCCCTAAGGCAAGGGCAAGGCCTGTTAGCCACGTGTAAGTCATGTCTTTCTATGGATTACCATTCTCTGGGATCTCCTTATTTGTCTACAGTGCAGAGGGGAGACATCTCTACAAATTGAGATTTTCTTTGTAAAGGTTAAAGGTGAAATATCTTTTTAAAAAATTAAATATGTATATTTCTATTTTTAAAATTAAGACACAATAGCATCATTTCCCGCCTTCTCTTTCCTCTCTCCCAATCATTCCTTGTACCCTACCTTGCTTCTTCTAAGATTCATGGCCTCTTTTTCTTTAATTACATATCTGTGTAAATGCATAGATAAATAAATACAACCTGTTCAGTCTGTTTGGTGTTCTCGTATGTATATGCTCTCAGGAATGACCACTTGGATAACCAGTTTGGGGGCTTGTCCCTGGGGACAACTAATTCTCCCTCACTCAGCAGTCATTAGTTCCCTGTAGTTCTTTGTGTAGAGGTGGGGCCCCATGAGATATCCCTCTTCTATGATAGCATGTCTGTCAGAACATGGTCCAAGAATGAAGTCATGTGAGGAAAATTCTGAGTGCTTGTGAGAAAAGTCCAAGAAAATAAGACAAGAGTCTTGTGACCTCAGTTTCTTCAAAACATGGAATTGTTCTTGGAGTGTGTTTTCATGCTCTCCCAGGTACAGCAGATAAAAATAAGCTTACTTCAGATTATTTGGTACTCATTTTTTTTTTAATCAAGAACTTACAACACATTTATTTTCAATTAATAAATGCCACTTTTTTTTTTTTTCTGAGACAGGGTTTCTCTGTGTAGCTTTGCGTCTTTCCTGGAACTCACTTGGTAGCCCAGGCTGGCCTCAAACTCACAGAGATCCACCTGGCTCTGCCTCCCGAGTGCTGGGATTAAAGGCGTGCGCAACCACGGCCTGGCAAATGCCACTTTTAAACCCTTGATGTGGCTGCCTTTTATACGCTTCCTGATTTAGCAACTTGGATTTCTCCAGATAATCAATGATATCCAAATGGTGAATCCTCACCTACATATGAGGAACAGACTAATATCTGCTGACTGCTGCCTAATGTAAGCAACAAGTCAGAACTTCCAGTTACAGTACTAGTCTAGTTACAGGGCCTTCAGCTACTGCAAACAGAAACTACTGTTGCATTCTAAACCTGAGATATTTAAGAACAAGGAAAGGATTCTCAGCAAATTAAGTTGAAACAGACATTTGTAGGTTTAAAGGGCTTTTGTGAATGCAGCTGCTCACTAAAAAGCCTGTGAGCTTGTTAGTAATGTGGAGTTGAATCGTAAGTAGTTTATCACAGACACACACTGGCATCCATACATTATAGAAAATGTAAGCTCAAAGTCACTGTCAGGGTAATGACCCAGGCAGAGGTTTTCTAAACTCCCCCTGCACTCCAGACTGGCCATTAACATTTGAGGGCAAAGTCATCACTTGTTCAGTTGTTTTGGACCCATGAAGATGGATTTTCCTTTCTTTCCCATCATGATCTAAATATTCAGCTTTAGGACTGGGGATGGACCTCAGTGGTAGTGCCTCTCCCTACCAACTATGTTTGAAGCCACAGCATCACACATACAAAACAATTTTTACATCATCTTGGCTGAAGTTTGAACAGTATTTTAAAAATACCAAATTCACTTAAAGCTATTTAGCATTAATGAACCCAGTGAATCTAGAAATCCATCAGTTTTAGTACAAAGTAGGCATTTAGAATGGAAACAAATTGCATTTTGTTAAACTTTTTCAATACTTTGTGCCTGTTTTTTTTGTTTTTTGTTTTCTAAAATGAGGCAGGGTCTCATTCTAGCCCTGGCTGGCATCGGCCTCCTAAGCTCAGGGATTACTGGCATACGCCACCACACAAGAGTTGTGTGCATCTTTAATGAATTCTCAAATGTCAGATTCCTAAATACCATGTGACACTGAATGTCGAGGTCCAGAGCAAGACAGTGAAAGTCTGTGAGAGGAGATCATCTTGGGAAAGCTAGGGATCATACACATGGTCCTACATTCAGTTCTCTCTGCTGATCACTCTTCAGTGATTGTTATACCAGGACTGTTTCAACAGTGCATGGAGTCAATAGTGACTAATTTTCTGGGAAATGAAAAAATGTCTCTATATAAAGAACTGTCACAACACACTATTCAAATAAGATATACACCACGACAGCCCCGGTGAAGGAGGGGCTCTAGATATGGGGAAAGAGGAGTCTGGAAATGGGTACTGCAACACTTTGAAACAGGAAATAAGTTTGAGAGCAAAAAAAAAAAAAAAATTCAGCTTTTACATATAGAAAAAAATATGTTTTAAAAGAAAAAAATGGCCATTAAGTAGAAAAAGTAGTGATAATAAAAACAAGTACTTAAATACCTGAACTTGCCAAACTGGCCAAGATCAAGATAACTTTGTGCTGTGGAGCTGTAAGGCGACTTGTTTGTCGTCTTCCTGGAAGGCAACTGGGATTGCTTTCTTGATATAGTTTATTCCAAGAAACTGATCAAACTGTGTGGAATCGTTAAGGAAACCTAAGAGGGTCATCTTTGAAAACCCAACAATAGGGATGCCATCAAATAAACGTAGATGTATTCTCTATGTTGTGAGTAAAAATAAGAATTATGGGACTAAAGAATGAGGATTGTTGAAATGAGACAACTGAGGGAAAAACATTAAAGCCATATGTGACTTTTGAGTTCAAATCAAAGTGTGTTGGGCTGGAGAGATGGTTCAGTGGTTAAGAGCACTTCTAGAGGACCTGGGTCCGATTCTCAGCACCCAAAGGGTAGCTCACAACCCTCTATAACTCCAGTCCAGGGGGTCTGACACCATCTTCTGGTGTCCATGGGCACTAGGCACAAAAGTGGTGCATACAAATACATGCAGGCAAAATACCCATATGCATAAGGCAAAAATCAAGGGTATGGACACTTAACAAGAATAAAGGTGGGCCGGCAGGACGGCTCAGAGGGTAAAGATCCTTGGTGTGAAAGCCTCATGACCTCAGTTCTGTCCCTGGGTTTCACTGTGTAACTGACTCGTGAAAATTGTCCTTTGACCTCTGTACTTGTGATACACACTCGCTCTCTCTCTCTCTCACACACAGAAAGAGACAGAGACAAAGAGAGATACAGAAAACAACAACAAAAACCCTGACGCTCTCAAAGTTACAAATAATTTCATATTATTATATATACAATTTATCAAAAAGTATGATTTACACAATAGTGTTTGACTAGTCTGGTACAGGGGAGCAGCTGCCATAAACAGGCTGGTATTTGAAAACAACCAAGTTTATTTAGCTTTGGGGCTCTGGGTGCTTCTGTCTCTACTACCTGATCTCCTCCTGCCATGACTCCTGGACCTTGATGAGCTCGGGCTCCGGCTCCGGCTCCTGCGACTCCTCCGGCTCTTGCTCCAGGGGCCGGGGCTGTGATTCCTTCTTCGTCCTCTGCTCAGTGACCTGCGCCTCTCACGACCTTTCCGCACGTGTCTGTGAGACTTTTCCCCCCTGTGATTACCACCGCTCTTCCTGTCGGACTCGCCCTTCCTCTCGTAGGAGCGGTCTGGACTCAGGCTCCTTCGTCTTGACCCGCCGCTGCCGCTGCCGTAGTGTTCATCATGGTGGCCGGTCCTTTCCCTCCTCTCCCAATTCTTACCGAGGGAGGAGCTAGGCCAATCTGGCGACAGGTGGGCGTCTCTGTTGGCTTCCCTAAATTCACTGCTGGGATTTCTGAACACGTGAAGGAAGTTGCAGTGTTTCCCTCTTGGGCACTGCTGGACCTCAAACAAGCCACAAATGGCCACCTTCCACCGGGTCACGGGGCAGAACTCGCACTGGAGCTGCCGCCCTGCGTACCACCGTCCATTGAAAAGAGAAAAGGCGGCCCGACAGTCCTCTTCCGACTGGTACTGAACGTACACGTTGCCCCTCAGGTGGGGCTCCAGGTTGCAGCTGACCTTGAACTGCACCACCCTGCCCACCTTCTTGAACTCGGGCAGGGCGTCGTGGTAGAAGTCCAGGAACTGCTGGTAGGTCTCCTCGTCGCTGTACTCCAGGCCGGCGTCGGGGTCGTAGTCGTCCCGCCGGCTCTGCTCCAGCCCAAACGTGGTGAACATGCTCTTGAGCAGCAGCGTGGGGCTGGAGGCGGGGAAGTCGTGGGCCCGCGAACAGCGCTCGCCGAACCTGCACGCCCCGGTTTTGCTGTAGAACGGACAGCTGGCTCGACCTCTCTCCCGCACCCCGACCTCCGACGGCGGCGGCGGCTCCGGGTTCTGCCAGGGGCCGCCGCCCCCCAACCCCTCCTCGGCCCGCCGCAGCATCTGCCGCACGGCTTCCTCCCTTTCTCTCCTCTCCTGCCGCTTCTGCTCCTCGGCCTCGCGCTCTCTCCTCTGCAGCTCTTCCCACTCGGCCCTCAGCTTCCTCTCTTCCTCCTCCTTCCGCCGCCGAGCCGCCTCCTCCCTCTCCTTCTTCGCCCTGAACTCCTCCTGCGCCTTCTCTTCCCGCAGCAGCCATGCTCGGTGTAGCCTCTGCCTCTCCTCCTCCGCCAGCCTTTCTTCTTCGACTCGCCTTTCCTCGGCGATGGCGTCCTCTTCCGCCTCCGTCGGCGGCAGCTCCGCGTCTCTCCGTCGAGCGAGCTCCTGCCTCCGCTTCCTCCGCCTCTCCTTCTTCAGGGCAGCCTTGTACTCCTTGCGGCTCATGGTCCCCGGACGCGCGGCCGGCCCGGCGGCCGCCATGTTGCCACCCTCTCCGCTCCCACGGGCACCCCGGGTGCGAGCGGAAGTGGCCCGCGGAGGCCAGGCTCGGTCGTCCACTCAGCGCCGCCGGCCGGGCGGGAGGAGGGAGGCCCCGCGGGCTGAGGAACCAGCTCTCCTCACACCCGGGCTGTCCGAGTCCTTCTAGAAAATTTTAAAGTGTTAGGGATAGAGCCATAAAATAAAAACACTGGAAATCCGCCGGGCGGTGGTGGTGAACGCCTTTAATCCCAGCACTCGGGAGGCAGAGCCAGGCGGATCTCTCTGAGTTCAAGGTCAGCCTGGGCTACAGAGTGAGATCCAGGAAAGGCACCAAAGCTACACAGAGAAACCCTGTCTCCAAAAACCAAAAACCAAAAACGAAAAAAAAAAAAAAAAAAAAAAAAAAAGAAAGCATTTAATTGGGGTCTTGCTTACATTTTTCATAGAGTGAGCCCCTGACCATCACAGCAGGGAGCAGCAGGCAGGCATGGCCCTGGAGCTATAGCTGAGAGCTTACATCTAATCTGCCAATTGGAGGTGGGGAGCAAGACTGGACCTTGAAGCCTGATCCTAATTAGTCTTAAGAATTAAAACCTGGAGTTAGATATTGAGGGTGAAAGCTGAAAGATCAGAGAAGCAGAGCGGCAGCCACCAGAGACTTCTTAACTCTACGAACTCTCTGAGGAATAGGGCATCCTGTCTCTATGAATCCTCAGATTGAATGGCCCCGGTGTCCTGTCTCCTCCTCCCCAGTGCTGGAATTAAAGGTGTGTGCCACCACTGCCCGGCCTCTCTGGTTAGCTAGTGGCTAGCTCTGCCCTCTGATCTCCAGGCAAGCTTTAGTTTTCAGAACACAAAATACCACACAACAGGACTTGGCATGGGCTTTTGAAATCTGTAAGTCCATCCCTGGTAAGTAACAGGCTTTCTCCAACAAGGCCACACCTTCTAATCCTTCCCAAACATTTCTGCTAACTGAGGCTAAAGCATTCAAACATGAGTGCCTATGAGGCCATTTTCCTTCAAACCACCACAAGCTCACCCAGGTCTTTATTCAAACATCACTTTTACAACGACACCTTTACAAAGCCATGCCTCTTGGCTGTCTCCCTTCTTTGGCTTCATTTTTCTTCCTGATTTTTAGCACTATCTAACATTCTATGAAGGACCTCAATTTCAAGGCAATCTGTTTATCAAGTTCATCATCGCCCAGTAGCCTTGAAAAAGGTTTTAAATTTTAAAGTTCAATTAAGTGCTACATTTCATGGAACTGCAAGTTATCTTCATGTTTCTAAAAATAAGACAGAAAGAAGGACTTTTGAATCCAATCAGATTTAAAAGGCTATACTCAGAGGCTGCCTAGATGACTCATTGGGTAGAGGAGCTTGTTGCCAAGCCTGGTGACCTAAGTTCAATCCCCAGGACTTGCCAAAAAGTTCTGATACCTACTCGACTTTTAGGGGACTTGATTATCAGTGAAATTTCTAGGTTAGGCAAGTGAGTTCTCTCAGCATCAAAGGCAGCCCTGGATTCTGCCTCTCATAAATTCAGTCAACAGCAAGTGATCTACTAAAGAAGTCTGGTCTCTAGAAGGGACTATTCTTCTATATCTCCTCAGGTTTTGCCAGGGAGGGCAGTGTGTGAAAGACGACTTCTATCCAGTGGGCAGGATAGAAGTATTTTACTTCCTCGCCATGAGGAGAACTTCCCACTCCCCCTGCTATGGGGTGATGGCTGCTGCTCATTGGCTTTTCTTTCCTTTGTTAGGTGATTTTAGTTCAGGTTGCTCTTATTTTCCTTCCTCATTTGTATCTGTTGAGGGATGGGTTGCATCTGAGGGATGAGTTGCATGGATTATTCATACATAGCTTGCATACTTATGAAGTAAAAAAAACCTTGAAATTAAAATGGTATGGACTTGGGGCTGGATGAAATAATGTCATGACATTTGGTTGTTCCTCTTTCAGAACTTGTAAATACAATAATTGTGCCATATTGAGTGGCTTGGTTTGGCACTAAAAGTAGAAGGCTTGCTGAATAGCTAAGGGATGGAACATGGCAGACCTATCATTCCTCTGCAATGTCTTGTTTATTTTATCTTTATGTATATAGGTGTTGTATTAGGGTTTTCTAGAGTAATAGAACTTACAGAATTAATCTATGTATTATATAAAGGGAATTTATTAGAATGACTTACAGACTGTGGTCCTGCTAATCCAACTATGGCTGCCAATGAATTGGAAGGCCCAAGAATCCAGTAGTTGTTCAGTCCACAGGGCTGGATGTCTCAGCTGGTCTTCAGGATATGCCAGAATCCTGAAGAAGTAGGCTCTAATGCCAGTGAAGGAATAGACTTGCTAGCAAGATGAGAACAATCAGACAAAGATCACAATCTTCCTTCTTTTGTGTCCTTATATATGCTTCTAGCAGAATTTGAGGCTCAGATTAAAGGTGGGTCTTCCCACCTCAAAAGATCTGGATTAAAAGTGTGTCTTTCCACCCCAAAGATCCAGATCCAGGAGTGGGTCTTTCAAATGAAGCAAAAATCCCTCACAGGTGTGCTCTATTTTGGGGTTTCAGTTAATTCCAGATGTCATCAAACTGACAAGAACAGCACCACAGGTGTTCTGCCTTCAGGAGTATCTGTGCACCATTTGTTTGCAGGCCAGAAGAGGTTGTGTGTCATCATGTGGGAGGTATGAGGAGTCAACCTGGGTCCTCTGGAAAAGCAGCCAGCGCTCTTATTGCTGATCACAACCCCTAAAAATCTCTTGTTTTGGAGAAATGTCCTTCACCTACTGTCTGATACTAGGTATCAATAAAAATGTCTGTCCCATATCTTGGGGTCCCACCTGAAATAGGAAGTTTGGATTCGTCATTCACTAGCCAGGGGGATTGGTTTAGGAACAGACCTGTGGCTTAGGATGAGCTAGTCTAAATTCTCAGTGGTTTCTTCTGCTGGAGCTAAATTTTTCTCATTCTTCTTCTTCTTTGATCCTGAAAGTACTTGGAATTAGGTAACTAATGGTCACCTTTCTAGTCTGGCAGTGGCTGTGAGGAAGGTAACTCTGTCTCTTTCGTGCTGTCTGTTTATGCTACACAACAAACCCTGTCTTGCTGAGTGTCCAGTCAGACTTCGGGTACTTAAACAGAAGGGTCCCGACCCTTCTGTTGTCCCTACACAGAAGCTATCTCCTGCCATTCACTCATCTATGATGGATCCTGTTAGCTCCCATCAACTCTGGTGTCTGAAGATGATGTATCTTTCTAACTTCACTTTTCTGGACATCTTCTCCAAGCTTTAATGTTGTTTACAACTTTTGTTCTCTTTGATTATTTTTTTTTGAGAGACACTCTTCTTTTTGTTGTTCTTGCTTTTATAATCTCTTGTCTTAGCTTCCAAGTCAGTGTGTATCTCTAAAATGGTTAGCTCCAGAGGTGCGATCTCGGCTCTCTTGAAGTTTTACTTTACCGACAAGTCTTGGGTCTTGTACCTTGGGTGACTTCCTTTTCCTTCTGTTACTGCCTGTACACTGATTTCCTCAAGACTCCATTGCTTAGCTTAGACTCTCCTGGTCTGTAACCCGAGGTATCCTTTGGACAGCCTTCATCCATCACACCTCCAGATCATCATCTTCCAAATTCTCTTCTTCTACTGTTCCAGGCACAGTGAAGGACTGTATGTGAGCATTTGTTTTTTCTAAGAAATCTGAGTACCGTTGTTGACTTTTTCTTTACCATCTTGTCAAAGTCTGTCAGTGACTCACATATTTTTCTTAAATTCTGTAACTATACATTTATTCTTACCGTGTTGCCTCAGTTTGGTCCAGGACTCTCTGAGCTATGCATTGTGTGAGTACTACTTCCCAGATCTCACAATGGATGGTTTCAGGGTGTTTTTGGCCTGATTTAGGCTCAGAATGTCTCGCTGGTGAGAAACTCTTTTCTCCTCAATGCAGATGAGAGCATACAGCTTTTCCACTATGGGTCTCATTGTTCACCACGCCCTTCCATCTTAACCTTTTACCTGGATTCTTGCTATGCTTTTGCCTGGCTGAGTATTTGAACTTTCCCAAATTGACATATGTTCTGCAGTACATTTGTGTTGAAGTTGTTAAGTCTGAAGCCTAGGGTCAAGGTCTATCTTCCATCCCCCAGCAGGACTTATTAGCCTTTCCTGAATCTAATCATTGTGACTTACACTTACCCATGTTAGAGCATGAACACACCATGTTGACACATCCTTTCTAAAAATCGCATCCCTCTTTGTACCTAAATATGAAGAGGTTTTGATTTGTTTTGTTTTTGACAGTCTCGTGTAGCTGAGGCTAGTCTCCAACTCCTGATTCTCCCACATTGACCTCCTGAGTTCTAGAATTACAGATTTGTGCCACCATGCCTGATAGATGTGTGAATTTCTTATTTCCAGGCTTTTGTTAGTTTGTTTTATAAAATTTGGGTTTTACAGAGGAGGAGTGGATTGGGGGGTGGAGGGAAAGTGGGGGAGGGGATGGAAGCAGAGGAGGGAGGGGAAAATGTGGTCGGGATGTAAAATAAGCAAATAAATAAAACAAAAAATTAGTTTTATTTTTAATTTTAACTTTAGATTATGTGTATTGTGCTTTGCCTGCATGTATGTTTGTACATTGTGTGTATGCCTGGTGGCTACAGAGAATGGAAGAAGCCATTAGATCCCCTGGAAATGCAGTTACAGACAGCTGTGAACTGCCTGCCATGTGAGTACTGGGGATTGAACCCAGATCTCCTGGAAGAGGAGCCAGTGCTCTTAACAGCAGAGCCATCTCTGCAGCCCAGATGTGAGTTTCTTGACAGAAGAGACTTAAGTTACTTTGCTGTGCATTACCAGACCATCACTGTTTTAGTTGGGGCTTCTACTGTTGTGATAAACACTGTGCTTGCTAATTTTATGTCAACATGCCACAAGCTATAGTCATGTGAGGGGAAAGAACCTCAACTGAAAAATTGCTTCCATAGGATGGGGCTGTAGGTAAGCCGGTAGGGCATTTTCTTAACCAGTGATTGATGTGGGAGGACCCAGTCCATTGTGGGCAGTGCTATTCCTGGGTAGTGGTCCTGGGTTCTATAAGAAAGCAGGTTGAGCAAACACAGGAAGCAAACCAGTAAGCAGCACCCCTCCATGGCCTCTGAATCAACTTCTACCTCTAGGTCCCTACCTTGTTTGAGTTCCTGCCTTGGTTTCCCCCAATGGACTGTGATCAGAAGATATAAACCAAGTAAATCCTTCGTCCTCAAGTTGCTTTTGATCATGGTGCTTCATTACAGCAAGAACAACCCTAAGACAAACACCATGACCAAAAGCAACCTGGGGAGGGAAGGGTTTGTTTCACTTTGCGGATTGCAGTCCACCATCGAGGGAAGTCACGACAGGAACTCAAGGCAGAGACCCGGAAGCAGAAACTGAAGCAGAGGTCATGGAGGAATGCTGCTTTCTCGTTTGCTCCCCATGGCCTGCTGGGCCTGTGTTTTTTCCCTCCTCCTCCTTCTCCTCTTCTTCTTCTGAAAATGTACTGCAATATTCCAACAGCATATTACTTTTTCCTTTGTAAGAGCCTCCTTTCTTATATACCCTAGGACCACCTTCCTTGAGAGAACACCATTCACAGTGGGCTGGGCCTTCCTACACCAATCACTACGAAAATGCCCTGCAGCCTTGCCTATAGGCCAATCTTATAGAGACATTTTCTCAATTAAGAGTCCCTCTTCCCACATGGCTCTAACTTGTGTCAGGTTGACATAAAACTAGCCAGAGCAACCACTTCATAGATACTAAACGCTCACTAATGTTCAGAAAATTTCATTGTCTTGTCCTCTAAGCATGGCATGGCCATTGCTGTCTTGAAAGTGCAGCAGGTGTGATTGCATCAGGGGACCCTCACAAGATTAGGGCTACCAACAATCCCTTGTGGTGGGGAAGGAGGGCTTACATGTATGTGAGGCCGAGTACATGGATACACAAGTATCTTATGAGGTGGGTCATGCAGACTCTCTTATCCTCAAGGATGTGTAAGCAGTTAGCAGCTGCTGGTGTGGTGGGGAGGTTTTCTTCAGTGGTGTAACTGACCACGAGTTTCCCATGCTCCTGTAGGAAACTCTTCATCCATGATCCTGTAAGTAAACCCCAACTCGACTCATTGGTTGACCAAGTGGGATGAGTGGATGAGTGGAGTAATTTCTTTCATCTGTCACTGGCAAGCAGATGCTTCTTCATGACTCTCCAGAAAAAGCCAGTGCAATAAACAATGGAAGGAGAAACATTTAGCTTCTGCATCTGTCAGCTGCCTGTCGACCACTCCAGTTATATCTGTCCAGAAGAAGGAAGGGAGGAGAAAATGTTATTTGTTGATTGCCAGTCATCCACTTAAAATTTTCTGGACATCTTTCATGGTCAGTGACTGTGCTAGGCACCTTCACACCATTAGGCTACTCAGTTAAGGCAGTATCATTCTTGGGAAAGCATTATTTTCATTTAAAAATCTGTTTATATTTTAACTGTGTTCATATTTTCAGTGCTGTGGCAAGTACTGAGAAAGGAACTGAAAAAAAAAAAAAAAAGAAAGTTCTTCTAGGCCACAGTGTTAGAGCTTTTGGTCCAGAGTTGGCTGGTTCCAATGCTGTGGGCCCGCGCTGTGGCAGGCTGTCACGGTGGCAAGAACGTGTGGAAACCGTTCAAGTCCTCACTTGGTAGCAAAAGGAAAAAGAGAGGGAAAAGGAGGGGCAGAGAGACTATGAATCTTTCTTGGACATTCCTCCAACCTTCTTCCTTCAATTAGGCTCCGCCATCTAACTTTGCCACCACTTGCCAATAGTGCCATCAAATTATGAATTCATCAATGGATTAACCCACTGATGAAATCAGAGACCTTGTGATCCAGGCACAGAGCTCCACCTCTGAATACTGATTACTCTGATTCATTGAGTTCCAACCCTTCAACACAGGAGCCTTTTGAGGGTGCATTTTCTTTCTTCTTTTTAAAAACTTCTTTATCAACTCTTTGGGAGTTTCACACCTTCTCACCTCTCAGTCCCCTGGTATCCTCCCCTTACCTCTGCCATGCCCCCCAAAAGAAAACAAAACAAAGTAAGCAGGCAAACAAACAAAAGCAAAAACAAAAACACCCAAAACCAAACAAAAACAACAACAGAAAAACCTCTTTGCTTCTCCTTCTTCCCTGCTTCTTCATTCTTCCTGGTGGCATTGGAGGCTTCAGTGGACCATGTAGTAGACCCTGTTGTCCCATCAGCTTTACTGACAAGTGTTCTTTGCAACAAGTCACTGGTCTGGTTCAAGGCCTCTGGTTTCTGGTACACCATCCTCACTGGATCCTCACTAGAACTCCTCTGGGATATCCTGTGGTCACCCTGAGTCTTGGAGATCTCGTGGGTATCATTCCACAGGACCAGTCCCTTCACGAGCTCCAGCAGGTCCTAGATGGGGGAGATGCTAGGGTGGGTCAACCCAAGGCCCAGCTGTGGGCTTGGATGGTAGCCAAGCTGGTCAGTCGGGGCCACTAGGGCCACTGGCCTGGGGTGAGGAGGTGGAGTCAGCTCTCCTACATGCATGCCCTCAGGGTTGGTTCACCCACACCTGTGGTGAGGGGTAGGGACCATCTTTCCAGAGTGCAGGGGCCAGCTTTCTTGATGTAGTGTTCAGTGAGAGGCAAGGCCAGATTTTCCAGGGCCAGTGAAGGGTGAGGCTGGCTTGAAATGGCCCTCTAATTTCATCTTGCATGGTTCCTAAGGCCTTCTGAGGTGACACAGGCCACAGACATCAACACAGTCCCAGACATGGCCCCAGGCAGCAGCTCATCCTAGCTCCAAGTGGTAGCCCGTGCCACTCAGGTTAGGATGGCTTTGGCAGCAGCATGACCCCTGGACACCAGCAAGGCCACAAGTTGTGGCCCAGACCCAGGCTTCATGTGGCCTTTGGTGGCACCATGGGACATGAGCATCAACATAGACCTCAGCTGCAGTAGGGCCATGGACCCAGACACGGTCCTTGGCGGCAGCCTAGCTTGGTTGTCACCATGGCCCCAGGTGGTGGCAAAGGCCACCCAGATCAGTATGGCCCAAGCAGCAGCATGGCTTGTGGACATAAACACGGCCTCCAGAGGCAGCCCCGCCCACTGGGATCAGCATGGCACTCGACAGCAACAGGAGCCTGGACATTAACACAGACCCTGGCTACTGTAGGACCAGAGACCCAGACACAGCCCTTGGCAGCAGCCTGGCCTGGGCATCACCCATGGGGACAAGCAGGCCTCCACCATCTGCCCACTGCTCGCCGTCTTCATTTCTTCCTTTCTGCATCTTTCCACGGTGCACAAACCTTTCCCCTTCTCTCTCCCCCATTTCTCCATCACATAATTTCTTATCATAACAAGGCCCACATGCCGCGCGCCGCAAAGGGGTGAGCCTGTGGCTGTCTTCCTGTCAGCCGACGCCTTGAGGACCCGAACTGGCTAGACCCCATTTGAGCAGAACCGAGGGTGTATTTTCTCACATCCAAGTCATACTGGCATTGCAGATCTTAAAGCTAAGAAACCTGAGTTTTGAGTCCAGCAACTGTTTTGCTGACTTTTAAAATTCAAGTGATGTAATTTTAATAGCCACACCACTTCCTGTTATATATATTTCTCTGATTTATTTTTTCTAACTTCTGTCCTCTAGACTTTTTTTTTCTAAATAGAATGTCCTGTTCAGGACAGTTATTCAGGAGCATTTGGTCTCCACTTCTAGAGATAGTCTTGAAATAATTGTACATAGCACAAAAAGCACACACCTAATAGTGAAGCAAATAGACCAAGAGGCTGTTAGTTGGTTAGAAACCGCCCTCATTAGTAAATCCATGTCCTCTCTTCTCCAAGCCACTCTTGCATGCATGTGCCCCAAGGCAGCACTTGTCACTGGCATGGGGTTAGTGTCACCAGCCTTGGCACTGGGGTGGTTCTGGAAGGGAAAGGGGCCTTCCTTTGTTTCTGAACATTTCCCTTTGCACTGCTTATCCTGGTGGTTCACAGAGCAGTCTGTGAACTACTTGTCACTAACAGTCTGTATGGAAAGGAATGCTAACTTTCTTTCTATTGTCTTGTATTCACTCCCTTTCTCTTTCCCTTTATCATTCTGTTCCATCCCCTCCCATCATCCCATCCCATTCTATCCCATCCCATCCTATCCATACCATTTCATTATCCCATCCCATCATCCCATCATCCCATCATCCCATCATCCCATCATCCCATCATCCCATCATCCCATCATCCCATCATCCCATCATCCCATCATCCCA